TAAAATAATCTACCTATTTTGCATGAGAAATCTCAGAAACATAACCAACAAGGACAAAAATCATCCCACGATACAAAAGTGACTGAGAAGTCCAGCCCAGGCACTTTTCCTTAGTGAAGTCTGCCGAAGTGGTGACAAAATGTATGTGAATGTGTAGGGTCAGTGCAGTGAGGAGTGGGAAGAGTGATTAGAGCTGGTTGTATGTAATGACGTTTTAGGTGATTTCTTTTGCTTTTTTTTTCCCCAGCAGGCCTCTGGACTGATACACTGACGTTGGTAAACAAGTTCCCAGGTGATTTCTTTTTAAAGCAGCATTTATTAAAATCATTTCCTCTTTTCTCCTACAGGCTGACACCCTAAATATGGCTCAGTCAAAAGCAGTATCTCATCACAGGGCCTCTCCAAACCCAATCTGGATAAAAGCCACAATCAGTGTACGTTGGGATAACTTTGCTATGAGAATGGCAATATCCTGGGACTGGCTATAATGGTCGATCGATTTCCATAGCTTCCTCATCCTTTCAAATCAATCTGTCCATCCAGATTCAAACCACAGACAGCCTAAAATACTCCCAAAGCCTTTTTATCTCACTTATCTCCTTGTTCTTAATTCCACTAAGTCATTTCTGTCCAGCTACTGCCCGGAGTGTCATTCATAAATTGTATGAGAATTACTGATATTACTTGAATTGAGTTAAAATAGCTTGCTATTTTTTTATACCCATGTGTTTATAAACTTGCACTATCTATTGCTTCTAACGCATTATGGAAGCTATTTTTAGATAGTGAATTAACTACTTCAGGACATCAAGTCATTGTTTGATATGATTCATACTAAAACTATTCAGACTTTGTTTGAAGTCTATTCAGAGTTTGTTTGTAGTGGGAATTTGTCTATGCCAATGCAGTCGTAATGTTTAATAACCCTCTTGGATATTAAGGGCATGATGGCCAGAAGTAAAAACACAGTGTGTGTTAATGAAGGCATTCCTTTTTTTCAGCAAGTCAACGGAGACATTTAAAGGAGATATGATTCTTGATTATGCAATTATCAACAGGATCTCTAGAAACACAAACAGCCCAAATGACTTATTACCACAGAATGACTGACAAAGAAAACTTTCAAAACTAGAAAAATGTTTCAGATCACTTACCTCTAGTTCAGTAAACACACACATAGCTGGGATTTACGTTCAGATCCTTGTTCTTATGTCTAATTAGTTATCCTAAACTTAATGCAGTTTGAGTGCAACAAAATTAATAATGCTCAAAATAGATACCAGCTCATTGCTCAGTTAATGACTGTTTAGTTTTCAGTGGTGTTTAATTAGGTAAAAAGAAAATCCAAACAGAATTTTAAAATTCCAAGAACTTTTTTGGAATTTTTTTTTTTTTACTAAAAATACCTTTTAAAATTCGAGAAGTGAGAATCTATAGCTTATGAAAGTGAATTGCTTAAAATGCACAGATATGTATCTCAGAACTCCATTAAGAAGTTTTTCACAGCCTTTCTTTCAAAAATGTTTTCAAATAGTTCAGATTTATGTAATGTCACATCTGATCTGGAATATGCAAGAAATATAAAGGACAAATGCCATTTACAAAAAAAAATGACAGAATTATTGGCAGAATAATAATGAGGTAGTTCAAGAATAATCTCCCTTACCCAACTGCTACGATGTATATAAATCTTAACTACTGTGCAATAATTTACTTAGCAATATTCCAAGGTAAATATCATTAAGTTCTTAGGTCTATAGCAGAACTTTTACACTTAGTACGGCACATGGTTGTCAAACTGATTAAGCATAATAGGAAAAAGATTACAGTACTCAAATCAATATAATTCATGCATTAAAACAAATATTCTCAAGTTAATAAAAAATAAAATCTGAATTTCATGCTCAGGATTTTTCAAAGAGGAAGCAGAAGAGTGATGGGATGGCCTGGTTTTTTCAGGGAAGAAAGATTATAATGATATAGTTCTAAATCACGTAAATAATTTTAGGTTACGATGAAGGGGGTTTGCCTGAGTAACTTAGAAAATGATTTTTATTTCCTCTTGGACTCAGATACTAGAAGACAATATTAAGAAATAATGATTTGTGTGTAGTATGAATGGCTTTATGTCTGGCAAATACAAGCAAATAAAGGAATACAGTCTTTTATGTTAGCAAAGTTCCTATCTAGGTTTTTGAAGTTTCTGTTCATAATTACCCTGCTTTTAAAATTAATCCTTTTCAAAGATACTCATGTGAAATGTTCAAAACACATCTTATAACCTTACACTAAATCTTATCTCTATGTCCTTTATAATTGATGAATTTTTTCACTAAATAAAAGTAAACTCTTACCTTCCCTATAAATGCTTCAGCAAAGAAAATAAAACTAGGTTATGACACGTTATGATCTAAAAAGCCAAAGCAAGAAACTGTAAGTCTATGTCTGCGCTTCTGAGACTTGTGTGTGCATTGAAATCATCACCTGAGGTGAAGAATGTGAATTGCTGGGTCCCACACTTTGAGCTTCTAATTTAGAAAGTATTGGAAGAGCCCAAAAATCTGCATTTCAAACAAGTTCCAGGGTGATATTAAAGCTAAAGATCAGAACCATACTTGGAGAACTCAACTTTTGTAACATATAAGATATATTTGGAAAAGTATTATTTTTCAACCATTTAATAGCTGCAACATTTGTAATGGCCAGGGATGCATATGGATATTTTTTCTCACAAAACCAATTCTATTCCTAGCAATGTGACTAATAAGCACATCGACATTAGAACAGAAGTCAATGAACAAGACCCCCATCTTCATCAGCTCAGTAGCAGAAATACAATTGTTTCCTACGTGTCTCCACGACTAGGCCTTACCCATCCACTGCCCAACATGAGACTTACCAAGACATATCATCTGAGTGACAAAAAGTGACAAGAAAATAGAACCGTGCCTTATTCTAATCAAGGCAGTTCTTGTATTGGCCCCCTGCAATTTCTTTCTCACTCCTTCTTACCCCCGACAGACATACACACACCATCCAAAATAAATAAATAAAAACTCCTTTCAGCTGGAAAGATCTGAACAAATGAGAGGAAAAACACGGGCTTGGACGTGGGATGAGAGAAATTCAGACTCCCCCATCCTAAGGAGCAGCCCCTTGAGAAGGCTCCGTCTCTAGCGTTCTTCCATCCCTAGAATCCCAGTTTTTCTCAGCTAATCAGGGGGCACCAAGGTCCCACAGAGTCACAAAAGCACAGAGAGAATTCCTGCTCTTTGGAGGCCCCGCCTCCTGCTGCCAGTCAGCCTGGAGGTCTGCCAAGAAAGTCAGCATCTCTCTCCTACACAGGCACCCCCCCCACACACACACACCCCCATCACCTCCACCATCAGACTAGCTGTCTTTCATTTGGGAAGGAGGGACTGGGAAGAGGCAAAATCCAAATGCTTAGAGACGGGAGAAAGAGAAGGTTTCTTGGCAGGAGTCAAGAAGGGAACTAGAAAGACAGGAAAGGGGAGTGGACAGGAGCTCAGTCCCCCCGCCCACTCGCCCACCACCACCACCGCCATTCTTCCCCCAGCACTGCTCAGTCTTGGAACAGTGGAGAAAGTAAAGGCTGCGTCCGATCTCTGGCATGCATCACCAAACACCCGCCCACCGCGCACTCCACGTTCCCAGAGAGTCTGAGGACTTCTACATCCACTGGCGGCGGTGGCTACTCTGCACTGGGCTCCAGGGTCTGCAGGGGAAACCCTGACACTTTCACCAATACTCATGCCTTTTGGCCCAGGGGCCGCCAGTGACCTAGCCCTGCCAGCGCTGGAGTTCAAGCACCCCAATGAGACCCAGGGCAAGTGGGTTGGATTTTTAGATGCATGTTCTCTGGATCCTGGGCCAGAGGGGTGAGGCGAGGGGGGCTGTGTGCGAGGGCGCGAGTCTTGGCTTCTTGCTTTCCCCTCAAGGTCTGTCGCTCGAACCTCCTATCACACCTCCAGGACACAAAAGTTATTTGGGGAGCACAGCCTGCTTGTCCCAAGAAAAGACTTACATTTGAGTCCACTAGAAAAGACTGACATTTGAGTCCACTATTAACCAGGGCCTGGGTGTGTGTGTGTGTGTGTGTGTGTGTGTGTGTGTGTGTGTGTGTGTGTGTGTATCGACGGCCAAGGGTGCCAACTGCTGACAGGCAAAGGAACCTGGTTTTGCTTTGGAGGACTTCAGACCCTCCGAATGAACAAGCTTGCCCTGCTCCAGGTGCGAAACCTCCCAGATCTGGATTTTCCAGAGGGGAGCCTGGGATGGTGTCCCAGGTGGCAGGGAGCTGCTGTCCTGCCCTGGAGCTGAGACTCGCACACTTAGGCGTCCGTTCCATTCATACGTTTGCTCATCCATTCACACCAACACGTCCCTTAATTGTGTCTGGCACCAAGAATCTTGCCTGCTATTTTCCCTCTCCCAAGTCAGTGCTCATGGCAACGGCTGGTGCAGAACGCAACTCCACGGTCACCCCACTTCCTGAGGCGGAAAACCAAGGCATGGAGGCATTCACAGAAAAAGGAAAAGGTGGCCAGGAGGAGGCGGGCGGGCGCGGAGACGGGTGGGGGGACTCACGGGGGCCACACTCGAAGCTTCCCTTCGGGCAGGGGAAGCCGCGGCAGCGACCCCGCGGCACCGGAGGAGCCAACCCATTCTTCAATCAAAGCCTTGCCGGCGCTCGGGTCCCCCGCGGGGAGGAATCAAGCGCAAAGCCGCTCGTTCGCACGAGTGCGTCGCGGCCGGCTCGCCCCAACTCCTAGCCCGAGCCGAGGCGCCGGGGGAGCGGCTCGCAGCCCAATCCGCAGCGCGCTCGCTCCCTCCTTACCGCTCCCCGGAACGTGATGAAGTGTTAAGTCCAATGCCACGCCGGGAGGGGCCCCGGCACGGCGCGAGTCGTGCCTTTTTCGCCCGCCAGCCTCTCTCGCCCAAGAATCACAAGGTCACGATCGCGTCGCGATCCCACTCACCGTAGACTCCTTGGCCGGAGATCCCCTCCAGGAGGACTGTCAGCAGCCACACGAGCCCGTACACTAAATCCATCTTCACGTGAACACGGACATATCCAGCCCAGGGGGGACGCGGCGAGACCTTCCGGAGGCCGGCGGCCAGCCAGGCGCGCTCCGCTCGCGCCCGGGCCGCGCCGGGATGCCCGGGAACCGCTCGCCGTAGCAGCAAGCGCCGTCCGTCCGTCCTTCCCCGGCGGCGGCCGCCAACGGAGCGCAGGAGCCCCGCACGCCGCACACTCATGCACACACACACGCGCACACACGCGCACGCCCCACGACACCCTGACACACACACACACACACACACAC